CATCACTACATACTTTTCCCACTGTACTATTTCTCTAAGGGATGATCTGAGGACCAAATCTGTAGAGCAAAGCAGCCTGAAATCCAGCTGTCCTTTCCTCCTCTGTCAGTGGATCCTCAGAAAGGTGGATGCTGGACAAACTCCTCTAGACGGGATGCGGTTTCTAGGATGCCTTAGGAGGGTCGGTGAGGAAGTTTGCTTTCCAGCCTGACTCTTATACTGTTTCAGGTTCTTCTGATTGTTCAGGTGATCTAATCAAACCAACTTCATCAAGTCACATTTGATCTGATCCCTTTTTGAGGCAATGCACCATAATTTGTTTTTTACCATTTCCATACATTTTAAAAAATATGTGTACACATATGCATACTTTTAAAAACCTATATTTTCACTAAGATTTAAAAAAATTTTGGATATGTCTGTTTCTCCACCTTGCATTTTTTGGTAAAATATAAATAACATAAAATTTACCATTTTAACCATAGTTAATTGTACATTCTGTGGCATTAAGTACATTCACACTGTTGTGCAACCATCACCATCATCCATCTCCAGAGCTTTTCATTTTCTACACCTGAAAACCTGTGCCGGTTAAACAGTTCTTCCAATGCATAGATATAGACACAGGTGCATTTCTCTAAGTAATAATCATCAATGATATGAACGTAAACATTGCTTAATGGCTCATATCAATGTCTCCATCTGTAATCCGTTACCTCCTGGGTCATCCTAGCCCTCTCCCCTCCCTTGTCTGTAACCGCCCGCTCCAATCCTGAGAGGGCCCCTAAGGGGCTCAAATCGAGGGCAGAATAGCGAGCTCTGAGCGTCCTGCACTGCTCCCAGACCACCGGCAGAGGGCTGCCGAGTGCACCTATTCCGGCCTTCCCTGGCGGACAGGCGTGTTGCGCATGCGCATTCCGCCCTGGACCTCGAGGCCGCGTGTGCAGGGGGAACAGGGACTCTGTCGCTTCGGACGAGGTGGTGTCGCGTCTACAGTGAGTAAAATCCTGGTTGGGGCCGGGCTGCTGAGCAGGGAGCTTGCTGTGGCTTCTCCGGGATATTTTCTCTCCGCTGTGGAGCTAGAGCCTTGCATATTCCAGGCCGTCCCTGCGTGTCTCGGTCCTCGGCCCCTCCTGCAGGGTCATAACCAGGCTTCTCGTGCAGAAGGCCCCGCTCCCCGAGGGCTCGGGGGGCGACATCAGAGCACGTGCAGCACCTGTTACGGATTCAACATCGTTTCTGGGCAGAAATCTCGATACAGATGCAGAGAGAGGGAACCGCATGGACAGTTGTGAAGGGAACGCACGAAATGCCCTGACTTTCGGTGGAAGGACCTGGGGACACGGAGGGGCCGGGTCAGGACACGCCCAGGCCCCGGGCGGCAGGAAAGACGTCTGCAGCTCCGTGCGCGCTTCTGTTCGTTGTTAGCGGGTAATTTTTCCAAAACAGTGAAAGTCGTTGAAAAGATAATAAAAAATTGAAAAGTGGGTGTATTTAAATTCACAGTATTGTAAACGTTAACATTTTGTTTACATCCAAATCGTAACTTATTTCCTGGCTTTAAAGGAAGTTGCCTCGTCTATACCGTGTTTAAAGTAATGCTGCTCAGTGTATCTTATTTTCGAATTGAAGTATTACCATGATTAGCATTTGCTCATGACCCAGTGAAAGTGTTAGATAACTTTAAGTTAATTTCAGCGTATTGACACGTTTTCTGCAGGACCTCACTGTGATAGACATTGTTAAAATAAATAAATCTAGGACACTACCAAATTTATTAAATTTTTATAAAAAAAGAAGGTAGGGAAAATACTGATTTTGAAACAAAAGGTTGTACTCAAAATGAGAATATATTGTTTAACATTTCTTCGTAATCCTTTACGATTTATTGAAAGATATCCTGAGACATCTAAATTCTAAATTTTATTGTTTAAAAAGTCAGTTAAAACACATTCTGCTTACACTTAAAATCAGTTATGAACTGTGGCTCAATTATTCTGAGAGGTGAAATATTTTTAAACTATGTAGTAGTGATTTACAGTCCTTAAAAGGACATAGCAAGATATCCTTGCAGAGACCCAAGCAGGGTTGGCTTTCTTTTCCTTTGTATTAAACTATACACACTCTAGAACCCTCGCAGTGTTTCAATTCTTGAATATATCATACATATGAGAATAAACATCTTGGCTTCTCTAGTGCTGCATTTTTCTTTTTAATTTCGAAAGTGTTACCAGTGTGGTTCTACTGAAATGTTCTCTTAACAAATTCAGAACAAGCTGAACAGTTGTGTTGTCTAAGAGGTGCTATGTAAAGACAATAATTTTTGTTTTACTTGTAAAGGTGCATCTTACCCTGTTTAACCTTATGTGTGGTGGTGCTGAGTGGGGGTTGAGAGCATTAGCAGTAGTCAAGAGCAGCTTCGTGAATTAGCTCGGTTATCACAACAGTGTGTGGATCAGCCGTGCACCCTCCTGAGCCCAGAGAATAGGGAAGAAATGGTCCCCAGCTGCCAATGACAGCCAAGAAAGGTCTGCAGTATGGCTTTTAAAGTGAAAAGTGGGCTTTACAGGCATTCAGTAATAGCCAGTTCTGAACTGTAAGGGGAAAACAAGGATTCACTCTGGATTTAGGAATTTAACCAAGGCCAAAGTACTAGTTACAGATGAGCCAAGACTAGAACTCATTTTTTTCCTTCCTCACAGACTTTCTTCGTTTTTAATTAATATAATTATTGAGATATAATCGATGCATAACATTTTAGTTTCAAGTGTACAACATAGTGATTAGATATTTGTATATATAGTGAAATGATCACCACATTGTCTAGGTAACATCCATCTCCACACACTTATAATTTTTTTTTTCTTGTGATGAGAACTTTTCAGATGTAGTCTCTTAATAACTTTCAAAAATACAATACAGTGTTATTAACTATAGTCACCAGGCTGTGCATTACATGCCCATGACTTATTTATTTTATAACTGGAAGTTTGTACCTTTTGACTCCTTTCACCCATTTCACCCACCCCCTAACTTCCGCCTCTGGCAACCCCCAATCTGTCCTTTTATCTGAGTTTTTTTTTTTTTTTTAAGATTCCACATATAAATGAGACCATACGGCATTTGTCTTTCTCTGTTTTACTTCATTTAGCATAATGCCCCCAAGCTCCATCTGTGTTGTTGCGAATGTCACTCTTTTTTATGGATGAATCATATTCAGATATATATATATATGACCCCTGAGGTTTCTTACATGTCTCAGCTCCTGTAAATAATGCTGCAGTGAACCTGAGGGTGCAGATATCTTCTTGAGTTAGTATTTTCATTTCCTTCAGATAAATACCCAAAGTAGAATTGCCCACAGGCTGAGAGTATTTTGATAGCTTAGACCCAATTAAAAATAAAGACTGATCAGCTTGCTGTTAATTCCCTGCAGAGTTTGCAGAACAGGCCAAAACCCACCAAGTACTGAGACTTTTGGATGGTTTAGAATACCAATAGGATTTCAGGAATCACTCCGTTTTTCATAAGTGCATCTAAATGATTAATTTAGTTAGAGGGAAAATTTTATGTTAAACTAGTTGTTCCTTGATTGGCTGTATCTTGATTGACATCCAAGGTAAACAGGTTCTGTCCATTGTATTGTAAATCTGATGACGTTATCAACTACATCAAAGTGAGTCCAAAAACAAGTGTATGTCTGTTCCTGGAGAGAATGAGCTCTGACCTCAGAAATGTGGTGACAGCAACTCAACAACCTCACAGTATCACAGGTTTTCCATCTACTTAGGTTTTGGTGAGTACTGGAGGAAATTTCCCCTGGTCAGACCTAATCTCCTTTGTTTTGTCAGTGAACATTAATTATGAAGAGGATTGTTTACTCAGACTGAGGACATTTGTATTAATCATCTGAAGGCAGATTAGGTGATTGTGTGTGTGAAATTTCTGTTTATTAATAATCCATAAATTGTAGTCAAAGAGAAATTTCCCTTATGATTTTGCAGGTGGTTTTTCTGCAGTTAGTCTTGACAAGGAAGGAAGGAACACACAAATAAATGCATAGTGAGAAATTAGATGAGTGACCCAAAGGAAAAGTAGGGTTCTACTCAAGACAACTAATGGAGAAGGAAAGGCTCACTTAGGTAGTGGTTCAAAGAAGGGATCTCTGAAGAAATGGCATTTAATCTCAGACTGAAACCTAGTGATTATGGTGTGGTCCTGTGTGGGTCGATATTGGGGTGAAAATGAAGGATGATGATAGTTCTCAGTGTAGAGGTAACAGCAATGCTCAGTTGTGTGGTTCTGAAAAGTAGTGTCAAAGATAAATCCTTGGATATCTAGTGGAACCATTGTCTGCCTTTGAAGACTAGAAGATGAGAAATTTTTATTTAAAAAAGAGTTAATGCCTTCATTTTGAAATATATTTCATTTTACATGCCTGTAATACATAAAAGTGGAGATTATAGCTCAGACATGGAATCTAGATTTGAGTGTTTAGTTATGAGTTTAGAGATGACAATGGAAGAAATTGAAACAAGCGAAGGAGCGTTATGAGATTTCCAAGATAGCATATTGTAAGAAGAGAGAAAAGGAGTAGGATTGAACCTTGAGGTAGTTCACCACTATTGTTTGAGGAGGAGTCCTGGGAGGAGGGACTAGAATATTTTAAAGACAGCAATCTTAGCTGTCAGAGAAGCCTAGGAAAAAGAAAGTTCCCAAAATGAGATCATGTGCCAATAGTGCTTTGGTTCCAAGTAAAAGGCTGAGAACACACATTGGATTTAACTATGGGGGAATAACTGTGATCTTATCAAGTTTATTAACGTGAGGATCATTATTTTTGTAAATCAAAGAGTGAGAGAGTATGAGGAAATTGTAAGTGAATGCTGTTTTTTCAATTTCATTTTGAATAGAAAAAGGTCATGTGGCAGGAACTAGATGTAAATTGGTTAGAGGAGGTTTTTGTTTCCAGAATGGAGAGATGAAATGAGTTTAAGGAGATGGCTGTGGAAGTAATCAAGAGGTTACTGGTAAAGGAAATTCAGTTATAGTCAACATTTTAAAATATTTGTGGGAAGAGGAGAGAAAAGGTTACAATTGGAAAACTTGGATTTCATCAGGAATAGAGATGATTTTTCAGATTTTACAAGAGAGGATACACTGATGGATTGGAATGCAGGAATAATTGTAGATTTAATAACAATGAGCTGAAGTAGTTCTTCAAATTATCTTTTTCGTCTCTGCAGTAGGAAGCGAAGCCATTTTTGAAAAATGAGGAAAAAGGTGAGAATCTGTGAGATTCGAAAGGCACAGGGAATGTTGAAATATTTATTAAGCATGGGAGAATGAGTTTATTCTTAAGCCATAGTAGGATGCCAGATATTTAGAAAAAGCCTTCAGGAGATTTGTGACACTGTAATTAGACCAGATCAATACCTAATCGTGTGCTGTGACAGATGCAGAGACATCTGGCGTCGGGGTCTGTATCAGCAGATGCAGAGATGATCTAAGGGGCATGAGAATTGTTGGTCTTGGTGTGTATATGTTGAAATGAGTATGTGTGTGTTGCAATGATCAATAAAGATGAGAGGTGGGGGCTGATTTTGGAAATTGGGGTCACTGAACTGGAGGTTCCCACGTAGTAGGAGAACTTGAGTGTGGGGAGTAAATGTATGAACAGGCTAAAAGCACAAGGTGTGTGAGGGAGGAGTCTCTGGTCATGGATCTGACAGGTGACATGAACAGGTTAAATGTGGTTCTGGTGTCTGCCTTCAAGATGAGCAAGTTTAGGGATTTGACATGCAGAGGTGGGCAGAGCTCATTTTAAATTCTAACTCTGTCAATTTCTGGATATGCAATTGTGTCATATAAATAAGCTTTCTGAACCTAGAGCACATCACTTGTTAAATGTGTAATTAATCCATAAAGGCAGGCTTATTGTGAGTATTAAATGAAATGTATGTATGTAAAATTATATATGTAAATTCTACTCAGAGAGTCTCAAGTAATACTAACAGATTTTTTTTTTGTCTTTCCAGTCCCTCAAAGCATTTTCATCATATCCTGTTCTTGGCACATCATCAGTGATTGTTAATGCAGTACGTGTAGTTACAAAGATTTTTTTAGGTAGTAAACTTTAGAGTTGACAAACTCTTTCATATACTTAAATTATGAAATGCAGAGATAATCTTGTTGATAAAAATATCTAGAACTCCAGACACCATTTCACTGAGATATCCCAAGGAGTCAATAAATTTCCTCCAAACCTAAACCCCTTCATTCTGTATTGTATGAGCCTGTCTGTCTATGGAGTTTGTGCATCACAACAGTACAGTGTGATGAATGCACTCCTGCTTCTTTCCTGTGCAACGGGTTGTATGTGCTGGACTTCATGATAAGTCACTGAACACTTGAAGGATGGGTCTTTGAATTGTTCCAGCCCAACATTAAAGACATTTCAGTGTTTCTTGGCCACATATGCAAGTCTCTGAGGTATACAGCTAAGGTTGAGTCACTAAGCTTGCCTGAATCCCACATGTGAAGGAGCCAAGATGACTGAGGGCAAGTGTATCTCGAGGGTTAGGACAGGGTAGAGGAGAGAGAGTGTGCGGCAATAATGAGCTTAGATGGGTGTTGGAAAACCATGCTGGTGAACCTCACCAAGAATTATAAAATCAGAAATTCCAGAATGATGTCTTGGGTTATGGATAAGAGTCTCCACGTGACAGGAGTCAAGTTCTCCTAGGATTTGGTGCCAAGGATGGAATTAAATAATACATCTGAATATCAGGTCTAATTAAACTATAAAGCCCTATACTTTTGTTATTTCTGGAATGGGGATATTAATATCTTCTTTATGAGCATCAATAGCCAAAGGCTTCTTATTGTTGACCCTCCTCCCCATTTGTCCTTGTTGACTCTGCAGTTACATGTGGGTTGGACTGTGGGAGGGAGTCGCTACCATGTGAATGTTTGAGGATTCAGGATGGGCATATCTAGAAATGTCAGAAAAGACTGGAGTCTCGTGGTTTCTTTCTCTTTTCTCAGCTTTGTCTGCTTCTTTATTGGACTGTTTCTGGGGGAAAATACACGGGAAGACAGGCGCGACTGAGTTGTAGGCAATGCAACCACAGGTGAGTAGCACTTGCTCTTTCTCCTGAATTGATACCTTTGTCCAGGGGATGAGGAGATTTCTCTTCTTGGCCTGGATCTTCTGTGTGCCTCAGTGAAATATTAGTGTCAGTCACATTGCATCAGGACTCTGGGAGGCGCATGGAAGGTCAGAGACTGATCAAACAATAATCCGCTACCCAATATTTACAGTAATTTATTGCAGAAGAAAATTGTCTTTGAAGAAAAGGTGAAAAGTTGTTTCTTCTCCTCCATCCCTTGGCCTCGGCTAGGAAGTAACTCACTCATTAACGCTGTTGGTGTCTGCAGTGGGCTTAAGCATGTGGTGAACACAGATGATAGAGATGAGTAAGAGCAGAAGTTTACAGTCTTGTAGGGAGGGAGATGTTTCTTCAGGTGAGTTCAGTCCATCAGTGTTTCAGATGCTGCAGAGGAGGGCTATGCAGCATTGAGATGGGGGTGAGGGAGCAAGAGAGCAATGAGGAGTCATTTAGTTACTTTCTCCAATTTTAAACTTACTAAAGTTTTTATAGAACATACTTGAACATTTTAATAACTTAACAAAAGAAAAATTTCTCCTTACCACTCTTGTCCCCAACAACCCAGTTTCCCTCTTTATAATTAAACTTTGTTCAAATTTGAAAAAGCAAATAAATGTTTGGTGAGTATTGTTTTCTTAATATTGGCTGTGCATTGAGAAGGATTTTAATAGAATAAAACCTAAAGACCTGTAGCAGTTTTTGAAGGACTGGAAAGATCAGGTTCAATTGAGAGGCTTCTATTACCCATGAGCATGTAGACAGGATGATGATACAGGAGAGGTAATGACAACCAATGCTTGGAGGTCCCAGAGAAAATTGACATGCAGAGCTTTACCACAGGAGTGTCAGGCTAGCACGTTCCTTATGGACAGCAGGCTTAGGGCCCCCTGGGTTTTGCTTCTGAACTGTAAGTCTTATGGCTTATCATGAACATGTGAGTTATGTAGAGAGAGACTACACCTATTTATCCAGGCCCAGTCAGTCCTGCAGAATGTTGGGCATTGCTATGTCCAGGTTATTTCTCGCCAAAGCTCATCAGATAATCGTTCATAATGAGGTTATGTTTGCAAAATGTGCGTACATTTTTGTGGATATATGTGAATGACACATGATGTGTCAGCACGGAGAAACATTGACTGGAACCCCAAAGAGTGTTAGAGATTTCCATGCATGCAGCAACCCGTCCCCAGTACTATCACGTCCAGCATACTCCTTGGTCCTTGCTAGGGAAGGCCCTGGCTGAATCAAAATGTCCTTGATGCTTTAGGAATCAGTGACCTTCAAGGATATAGCTGTAGACTTCACCCAGGAAGAGTGGGCCCTGCTGGACACGTCCCAGAGGAAGCTGTACAGAGATGTGATGCTGGAGAACCTCAGTCATCTGGTCTCCGTAGGTGAGTCTGCCAACACCGATTTATTCAGTCAACAAGTATCCAGAACAGCTTCCCCACATCCCCCCGCTCAGCCCTCATTCAGATTCATTCATGGTTATTAAAACTCCTTGAAGATAATTTGTTTATTTCTTTATTTACTTACACCTATTTTGTCATCCCAAAAGATTTCAGATTTCCTGACCACTCTTTCATGTCTTTCTTTCTTCTTGATCTCTAACACCCAGGACTGTGCTGGGAATCCAACGGATATTTTTAAATAAATAAATGAAAGTATAAAATATTTACTAAATAACTTTTCTGCTCTATCCACTGAGCTGGTGGTTAAAAATTTATTCATGGAAACTAATCTAATTATTTCCAAATACAAAATATATTGTTTAGGTGGAACTTCTGTATATTGGATTTTTTTTTTAAATGAAGTTCGGCCTAGTGAGGGGACATTTAATTACTCCTTTGTTGACAACCCTGAGGATTCCAAAGTCTGTCTTTTACTTTGGGCTTGCACATCAGCAACAATAAAATATCCCCATGTTGTCACGTGTCCTGATGTTCTTCCTGCCCTGGTGAAGGGCCTTCAATATGGTCATTTTTCCAGGTGCTTTTCTCTGGGCTGTCCTTCAGTGTTTCCCTTGTTCTTCCTTGATGTTCTGCCCTGAAACTAAAGAGCATGAATGGTTCTCAGCACAGAATCCAAAACTGATGAACAATTTTTCCCCACACACAGGGTATGAAGTCTGCAAATCAGATGTGATTTCTCAGTTGGAGCAAGGAAAGGAGCTGTGGAGGGAAGGAAGAGGATTTCCCCAAGGCCTGAGTCCAGGTGAGCTCCAGGCTCCTGTGCTCAGTACCAGGAAGATCCTGATCCTGGGAGAGCAGGGCCTGGGAAATGTCAGCTGAACATTTCCTTGAGTGATTTATATTTTCAGAAAAGTGTAGAGGCCATTGGGGCCTGTACTCTCTTCTGTACTTCCTCTTGGCCTCAGCAAAGGAATGCTTGTGTCCTCTTGAAGATATAGTTTCACCTGTGTCCTTTGTCCTCTTCACTTCCCTTTGACAGTTTTTCTTCTCTTTACTTTACTGACATCCAAACTTGATTGTATTGTTTCTCTTATTTCAATCCTGAAAATACTTTCTAATTTCAGTTTCCTGACCTGTGTTCTACTCACTGATGTATTCCTCCTTTTCACATCCTTTCCCTGAGTAAGGGTCAGTGTTTGAAACCTCCCCACACAGGCCTTGCATGCTTTCTACAGTTTTCTTCCTCTCATGCCACACTGGCAATTTGTTTTACATTATTTTAGACAGGAAAAGTGGCCCTCTAAAACAACAAATAATATCTGTTCCAGATACCTGCATGAAGGACCCGACTACCTGCATAGGTAAGTGGTAAGTTTCAAGGGAAGACACTCTCATAGTCCACATCAAAGACATGGGAACTGAAAGATCTTAGAACACAGCACAATCACATGACTGTAATTTGAGTTGGGAGTACACTTTCAGCCTGAGCAGAAAGTTTCAGTTAGTTTGAAGTTAAGGAAAATATTAACGTGAGCTCAAAACCATAACCTGAGTTTTTATAAAAGGACAATTGCATAAACATGGTTCATATAGCTAAAGTTTGAAGCTAATGAAATCTTTAAAATGAATCTGATATCTCTGCAGTTGAGATGTAATGAAAGAGGAAATCTCTGCATTGTAGGAAATAACATACATTGCATACGTAAATAATGTGGAGAAGATTTTGATAGGAGGCATTCCTTTCATGATCAATTTAGAAGTCATGTGTAAAGAAAAGAGTAAATGAACATATGTGAGAAATTCTTTAACAGCTTCTCATCTCCTTCGAACAGCAGAGATTTCACTCTGGAGAAGATGCCTATGAATGTAATGAGTATGGGGACATTGTCACTTACAGATCCACAGTGACTCAGCATGTGTTAAGTCACATGGGAAGAAAACCCTACAAATGTAATGAGTGCGGGAAAGAATTCCACAAGAGCACTCAGCTTTCTATGCACAAAAGGACACATACTGGAGAAAAACCCTAGAAGTGTAATGAATGTGGGAAATGCTTCAGCCAAAACACTAACTTATATTCACACCAAAGGAGTCACACGAGAGAGAAACCTTATAAATGTAATGAATGTGGGAAAGAATTCTGTCGGAGCACTCAGCTTTACGTGCACCAAAGAACTCATACTGGAGAGAAACCTTATAAGTGTAATCAATGTGGGAAACACTTCAGCCAAAGCACTAACTTACGTTCACACCAAAGAACTCACACAGGAGAAAAACACTATGAATGTAATGAGTGTGGGAAAGAATTCCATCAGAGCACTCAGCTTTGTATTCACCAAAGAACCCACACTGGTGAGAAACTCTATAAATGTAATGAATGTGGGAAATACTTCAGCCAAACTGCTAACTTACTTTCACACAAAAGAAGTCCTGTGTGAGAGAAATCCTATGTCTGTAATAAATGTGGAAGAGGTTTCTGTCACCCTTCATCCTTTAGTCAACATAAGAGAATTCACACTGGAGAGAAACCATAGGAATCCTTTGGTCAAAGCTCTGACCTTAGACAGCCTTAGGAGTTCACACTAGAGGGGAACCCCGTATATTTAATGAATGTGCTAGAACTCCAGGCACATGTCTTACTCTTTACTTAAAGAAAACAAACACATTGAGTAGAAAAGCCTTCAATCAGTTTTCTGATCTTAGTTGATGTGAAAGAACCCACAATATAAATGTAATGAAAAACCATCTTCATCCTCAACTCTAATGTTTATATACACCAGAGAACTCATAGAGGGGAGAAACTGTGTGTCTGTAATCAATGTGTGAAGACTTTCATTTATAATCCTTCCTTGAAAGCAACATGAGCAAACTCTGCAGTGGAGAGTATGAAAAAACATTCTATGGAGAATCCTTTAACCTACACTTTATCCAAGTGTTCAGAATTTTGCCAAATGACCTATTATAAACAATGTAAGATGAAAATGTACTCTTTTGCTATGATCTGGAAATATTTAATGAAGAATTTGTAAAAAGTAATAAAAAATTTGATTAAATTGTTTCAATAGATTACTACTTGTAATCATATGTACAGTAAAAGTTGTTCCTCAAAAACCTAATGTGTTGTTCAATTTATATTTGTATGCAGCTTTATACATAATTACAAAGACTTGGGTCAATCATAAAATAATGTAAACAAACTGAAAAATAATAATACAAAATAATGTGATTTAACTACTATAGCAGTATTTTAAAATGTTGTATTTGGTAGACATTAATACAAACTTGGAAGAATAAACACATAGTTTGTGAATAAGGTCAATGTTAAGATAATACTCCTCTTTTTAAAATATCAAACCTGTCCACGTTTTCCTATCTGCACCACCATAATCATTCCTGTCTTGAACAGGTCAGAGGAGAAGAGAGAGAGGGGATGGGAGGACAGGAGACCAGGGCCAAGTTGGGGTAGGAAAACACCAGCAGTGGGAGAAATGAGTGCAGGACTGTCAGGGGACAGCTGTGCACAGGTTCATGGCTGCTGTTGAGGCACAAGGTGTTGCTGGAGCAGGGATAGGTTGAAAAGAGCCTTCGGTGACCTCAGGTGTTGACAAAAGCAGAAAGGAGGGAGAGGCATGAGGAGGCAGGTGACTTAATGTGGGTGCAGAAAGGGGCATCTGGAGGTAGGCTCAAGGTCATGGAGAGGCTAAGTCACTGGAAGTGACCTGAACAAGGGAAGAATGGGGCTTTGGTACAAATGCTGGTGGTCCAGGATGTGCAATGGCCTCAGGAAGAGGGTCCAGGTAGGGAGGATTAATGTTGTTAAAGGACAAGATGGGGGATCATGGGGTTCACTGAGGGGACCTAGGAGTCCAGATCTGGGGTGAGAGGTTGGGACAAGGATAGAGGGTCTGTGTTGAGTCTAGATCATTCTCTTCTCTCCCAGTGCTTTTTGTTAAGCCCCAAGTAGTTCCTCATATAAATTTACAACTGAGTTGGAAGGGGGCTGACTAATTTTGCTAGGCAATATTCTGAGTTTTCCCCCCAAATTCCATTCCCTGGGGTTCACCTCTGTATAATCCCCTTCTTTTGCTTCTGTTCTGGACCATTGACTGTGACGAAATATCATTCCCATTAGGTGACACTCTATGACAATGGTGAAGGGATTTGCAGATGTTTTTAAGGTCCCTAGTCAGCTGTTTGTGAGACAATCACCAGGGAGTTTTTTCTGACTGAGCATAACCTAATCGGGTGAGCCCTTTTAAAGAGGGCCCACAGGTCAGAAACAGGATGTCAGAGATTTGATGCCAGAGACAGTCTGCTGCCTTGAAAACACAATGACAGGAATGCCTCCCAGTAACTCCTAAAAGAAGTAAGCTGTAGGGGGTGAGAGAAACACTGAGGAAGTGGTAGGAGAAGGAGAACGTTTCTGAGGATGCTTGTTTATATGGTTTTGCTTTTGGAAAATTTTTTGTACTAAAAATGAAATTAAACCAACAGGGATGAGCAAAATAATATTGAAAAGGAAAACAAATGAGCTTAATTTTATATCAAATGACAAATCCATAATTGAAAACATGTTCATGCAAAAACGTATACATGAGTGTTCTTTGCAGTATTTTTAATAATAGCCAAAAGTGAAACATTTCAAATGTACCCTGATGAAGGTATTAACAAAATGTGTCATTTCCGTATAATGGAATATTATTTAGCTGTTAAAAATGAAATGCTAAATACATGCTCCTGTACTGATGAACCTTGAAAGCATTCTATTAAGTGAAAAAATCAGACACAAAAGAAACATATTGTGCGATTCAGTTATATGAAATGCCCAAAACAGGCAAGTTTACAGCGACAGAAAATGGAGTAGGGGTTTCCAGTGACTAGGAGGAGGGTGGAATAAGGAATGACTGCTAATATATACAGGGATTATTTGGGGGTGAAAAAAATTTTCTGTATTAGTGATGCTGGTTGCACAGCCTGTGAATATACTAAAAAAAATTGAATTTCACAGTTTAAAGGTGAATTTTATGGCATGTGAATTGTATTTTAATTGAAAAAGAAGATGATACTCTAAAGAACCAGTAGCCTGGGGGTGAAGAGATACCCGGTTACGGAAGAGAAGTGAAGTCAAAGTTGGGAGAGTCAGATAGGATTCAAGAAGTCCCCTGGCTACAAAAATGAGCAATAGAGTCCTGAGGTTCCCCATGGATTTGGGGCCCAAGAATCTCAGGGCAACACTGTTGGACCCCTCTGCATCCATTAGTCCCTCCAGATATTAGGAGTGTGTTCACGTGGCTCCCTGGAGAATTACTTCTCTCATTCTTGAAACCATTACTTCTGACTGTCCTGTAGGTCGTTAGGGGCTCCTCCTCAGAAATTAGAAGAATGAATGAAATAGAGGAGAATCCCTGAACCCCTCTCATTGGCCTATTTCCTTTGGATTTTGGCCAGAGGGGGGACACAGCACTAGAGAGGAAGGATCAGGATATCGTGATGAGTGGAATTTGGGGCGGAAATGTTTAAAACATCAGCATCTTTTATGTGATTTGCTACGAAGTGTAGGGACAGTCACAGCACACCTGATTGCTGCTTATGGAAGATGCCCTTCTAATTCTGCAGAAACATAATATGGAGACAAGCAGAGCCTATGTAACAGTTTGACAGAAATGTGACTCACTGATCCATCTGTCACCTCAACCAGCCTCTTTTGCCTCAGGGTTTCCTTTCTTGGCTGCATTAGAACCCCCTCCTGGTCTCTGTGGGTGCAGCTGGATGGCTGATGGCTTGAGATCTGGCAGAAAACATAATAGAGGACTGTGGATGGGGAGTGAGGACCCCTGAGCAGTGGCCACAGCACCGGAAGAGCCCAGTTTGCTCTGTGTCTCCCAACACTGGGAGGGCGTTTCATCTTCCTCAGTGACCAGGGCCTCAGTGGAGGGGGAGCTAAGGACAGACAGTAGCCACAGACACCTTCTCTTTGCTCAAGGCACTCCAGGGCTCCAAGGAATCATGGCGTATTCTCTTCCCTGTCCCAAATACCCTTCCCACCACTCACACAGGTACACACCTACCAGTGTATCCTGGCTCCACGATAACCTATCACCTCCAACCAGCACATTGTATGTACATGTAAGACTATGAGTCAGTCCTCACTGGGGCTTTCAGCACAGCTTACTGATCTGGGTTTTTGAAATTGTGTTGAAAAATTGAGAACACATATTCAGGTTTATAGAATAAAATTATATCTATGTCTTAATACACGTGCGTATATTCATATTTTGTATATGAATATCAGTGATCTCCAGCTAAAGACTATCGGGAACATGCCTGTAATTGAACAAAAATTGGATTTATTACTCTTTTCATCAAGAGACACATTTCACAATGGAACTTTGAACATTTCAGTAAGAAGGTGCTAGAAGTATCTTACTAAAGGATTTGCACTTGTGTTGATTTTGGGGGTGGATTCAAAGAAGCTTGATCTAATCCAGATTGTCTGCTGTCAGCAGGATAATTCTGTGACTGGTGTCTCATGAAAGCTTCTCTCTAGGGAGGTCTGATCAGAACAAGACTACAGCTGTAATTTGTAAAGAAGCAGCAGTCACTTATATAGGCTGTGAAAGGGGGATGGTTGATATTTTGTGGCTTGGGTATGTCCACATTTTGTCTGTGTCCAGACATGATAACAGGGTGGAATTGTTTTTGTCTTCATCTTTCATGTTCATATACTGGCCTTGGGTGATGTTGATGTTCTCTGGAATTGGTTATGTTCACCAGGAGAACCATGACCCTGCTGAAGATACCATAGCAGCTTGTGGTCTTTTCTGTTTCACATACAATTCAAAGGGAAGGATGGGGAGAGGTGAAGTGGAGCATTCAGGGTGTGTGTTCTGGAATACAAGTCAAATGTA